AAGAGGTAAACTTCAATTTCGAGGGAAAAAAAAATCCAATTTTTTGGGAAAAATTTCTCATTTTTTTTCCCTAAACCCCAATTTTATGAAGAGAAAAAAATCCCATTTTTTGGGAAAAATTTCTCATTTTTTTTCCCTAAACCCCCACTTTTATGAGGAGAAAAAAATCCCATTTTTTGGGAAAAATTTCACAATTTTTTCCCTAAATCCCCACTTTTATGAGGAGAAAAAAATCCCATTTTTTGGGAAAAATTTCTCATTTTTTTTCCCTAAACCCCAATTTTATGAAGAGAAAAAAATCCCATTTTTTGGGGAAAAATTTCTCATTTTTTTTCCCTAAAATCCCATTTTTATGGGGAAAAAAAAAATCCCAATTTTTTGGGAAAAATTTCTCATTTTTTTTCCCTAAACCCCCACTTTTATGAGGAGAAAAAAATCCCATTTTTTTGGGAAAAATTCCCCATTTTGTTTTCTCTAAAAACCCTTTTTTTGGGGAAAAATTTATCAGTTTTTTAGGACAAATTCCCCATTTTTATGGGAAAAAATATCCCAATTTTTTTGGACCAATTCCCCATTTTTTTTTGGTACAAATTCCCCCTTTTTTTGCCCTTAAACCTCATTTTTATGGGAAAAAAAATCCCCATTTTTTTGGTACAAATTCCCCATTTTTATATGAGAAAAATCCCCATTTTTTGGGACAAATTCCCCATTTTTATATGAGAAAAATTCCCAATTATTTAGCACAAATCCCTCATTTTAATAGGAAAAAAAATCCCAATTTTGTCACAAATTCCCCATTTTCTACCAAAAAAGTCCCAGTTTTTGAGGTCAAATTCCACTTTTTTTTTTTCCCCGTAAAATCCCTTTTTTGGGGGAAAAAATCCCAAATTTTTGGTACAAATCCCCCATTTTCATTGGAAAAAAAAAGCTTCATTTTTGGGAGAAATTCCCCATTTTTATGGGAAAAAAAATCCCAATTTTTTGGCCCAAATTCCCCATTTTTTCCCTAAAATCCCATTTTTATGGGGAAAAAAACCCCAATTTTTTAGGACCAATTCCCCATTTTTATATGAAAAAAATCTTGATTTTTTGGGACAAATTCTCCAGTTTTATATGAAAAAATTCCCAATTTTTAAGACAAATCCCCCATTATTATGGGAAATAAAATCCCAATATTTTGGGACAAATTCCCCATTTTTATATGAGAAAAAACCTTGATTTTTTGGCTCAAATTCCCCATTTTTTCCCTAAAAATCCCATTTTTATGAAAAAAAAAAAATTGAATTTTTTGGCACAAATCACCCATTTTTATGGAAAAAAAATCCCAATTTTTTGGGACAAATTCCCCATTTTTATGGGAAAATAAATTGAATTTTTTTGCACAAATCCCCCATTTTTATACAAAAAAAATTGAATTTTTTGGCACAAATCCCCCATTTTTATATGAAAAAAATCCCAATTTTTTGGGAGAAATTCCCCATTTTTATGGGAAAAAAAATTGAATTTTTTGGCACAAATCCTCCATTTTTATGGGGAAAAAAATCCTGATTTTTTGGGACAAATTCCCCATTTTTATATAAGAAAAATCCCAATTTTTTGGGACCAATTCCCCATTTTTATGTGAGAAAAATCCTGATTTTTTGGGACAAATTCCCCATTTTTATATGAAAAAAAAATCCTGATTTTTTGGGACAAATTCCCCA